AGGACCGGGCGGCTTTCTGTTCTGTCCCACACAGGGTCGCTATGGGTTGGGATGGAGCCTAACAACAAACAGGAGCCCTGATGGCATAGCGGGTTACCCATTGAGATGTTAGCCACCAGATCAGCAGTTTGAAACCACCAGCCGCTCTGCAGGAGAACGAGGAGGCTCTCTACTCCTGCAAAGAGTGACTCTCAGGAACCCACCGGGGCAGTTCTACCCTGTCCTGCAGGATGCACTGTGCGCTGGGATGGATGCCACAGCAGTGAGTCTGAATGACAAACGGACCAGACCAAACAAGTCCATTCTGGGACAATGCGGACCATTTACCCCTTCCTCCACCACCATTCGTTTCGTTCAAGTTTACAAGCATATTTGCAGAGACGTGCAAAGCACCCGGGACCTTTCCCTCTGGGAAGGCAGATGCGGGTCATTTATGTTATCTGTCTATCTCATCGTTGGTTTCTTGCAAGGAAAAAGCGATTTTTCATCGTGTATGCCAATTCCACAGCTTTCTCTGTTCCTCATTCACCAATATTGCCTCGGGTTCCCCTCCTCCTTCGCTGGGCCTCCTTGCCAGCGTCTTGAGTTGGACGGTCCACGTGTATGCCTTCCCGCTTCCCCGTTTCGTGAGCAGAGTGGACGAGACTCAACAACTACAGGGCAACAGAGGAGCAGCAACAGGGGAGGGGTTGCCGCACGAGTGGGGATCCCTCCAAGAAGGGACCCCGAACCTGTGCTTATGTCGAGTGGGTTGGGGAGGAGGCTCACAAAGGAGGGTTGTTCGATGCCTTCGAGGTGGTTCCGATACAGCAACCCACACGCAACCGAACGAAGCCCCGCCCGCGCCCGCGCCTGCGCTGTGCTTGCAATGGTTCCTTTGTGGGAGCCCGTGGGTGCGGCCACGATGTCCGTCCATCTCGTCGAGGGTCTTCCTCTTGGTCGCTGCCCCTCTGCTTCACAGGCACTATGTCCTTCCCCAGGGACTGGTCTCTACCGATGACACGTCCAAAGTCCGTGAGACGAGGTCTCTCCGTCCTTGTCCCTCCGGAGCGCCCTGGCTGTGCGTCTTCCAGGACAGATCGTGTACTCTCTGGGCAGTCCGTGGCACCCTCCTTCAAATGAACTGCTCTTTCTTTGGTCTTCTTTATGCCACGTCCAACTTGCACACGCGCGTAGGAGGCGACTGCAAGTACCCTGGCGCACCTTAGTCCTGCAAGCGAGAAACCGCCCCGCTGGTCAGAGCGGTCTCTAAAGCGGTCTTGTGCAGTCGGTGGACCCAAGGCAATGGCACATGCTGGGTGGGACAAATTCGATCCCCCAGCCCTCTCCCGGCCCTGGATTCTGTCCCTTGCTGGGGCAGAGGGCGTGTGAGAGGCTGGGCTGCTCTCTGACCTGGGAGAGGCCTCTCTGCAGAGGGCCGGGTGCTGGGGGAGGGGCTCGTACAGTCCTGGTCAGTTGGGAGTCAGAGGGTCTGTGGTGGGTGAGGAAGGGGGAGGGCAGCAGGAAGGAGACCGGTCTACAGGAAGGGGCTGCAGTGAGGAGACTCTTGGGGTGACAGAGGGGCAGGGGAGGGCACTCAGTGTGTGACTAGGGGGCTGGGGTGATGAAGCTTCGGTAGGACTGTCCCCACCCCCACCCCCACCCCCGGCACCGCTGACCCAACCTGTACAGGTAGAGTCCGGACTTGGCTTGTGTTTTCCAGGCTCCATGGCGCTGAGGGGCCCCGAGACCGTGGTGGGGACGGAGGGGGGCTCTCTGGACGTGCATTGTGAGTACGAGGAGGAATTCAAAGGAAACGACAAGTACTGGTGCAGAACCCCGCGTGTCAGACTGTGTCAGAAGTTGGTGATGACCGCAGGAGCCCAGCGCGAGGTGAGGAAGGGCCCAGTGTCCATCAGGGACGAGCCCGCCCAGCTCAGCTTCACAGTGACCCTGAGGAACCTCACCGTGGACGACCAAGGCGCGTACTGGTGTGGGGTTCATGCTACGCTTTGGGGAGATAGAAGAGTGTTGGATCCCACCTTCCAGGTGGTGGTGTCTGTGTCCCCAGGTAAGCCCCTCCCCCACAGGAGCCCCAGGGCTGTCTGAACAAGCTCGGGTCAGCACAGCTGGGACGGTCTGGTCAGAGAGTGACGTGAGGACACAATAGGCCTGTGAGACAGACAGACACCAAGTCCTAGCGTAGTCTGCCTTGCCCGGACTTTGTGGCCACCTCAGAGGACCTGGGAGACTCTGAGGGAGGTGGGAGGTGAGGGAGGAGGAGCGGAGTTTGAGCCCCCAGGAAACAGGGCCCTTACACCTCGGATGCTGCTGGGGAGGGTGGAAGCGCGCCTGCAAAAGAGAGAGAGGTGCCAGCCCCCCAGGACCTGACAGCAGGAGTCAGGGAGGTGGGGCCACTGAGAGCCGAGCACAGGGCATGAGTGCTAGGTGGGCAGAGGCTGGACTCAGGGGGACTTGGACACTTGACAGGACAGCTGTGCCCTCTGGACGCTGCATGGCTGAGCTTGGGGGGAAGAGACTGGGGGGGGGAGGGGTGAGGGGCTCCCAGTGACCCGGCCTGTGTCACAGGAGGGAACAGGGACAGCTGGGCACCTGTGTCCTGTTGGAAGTTTCCTTGGCCCAGGGGCTCCTGGGAGATGCTGGCCCAGGCTCCTCTGTGCTGCCCTTTCCTCAGTGCGCTGTGCTCCAGCCAACCAGGGGGACTGGAGAGTGGGCAGGATCAGGGGAGGGCTCCTGAGTCTGACCTGTGTTTCTCCCACCAGCACCAATGTCAAGCACACCTGTAAGTACCACTCTCACCACGACCTCTACCCCCACAATGGAATATCTGTCTGTGTCCTCCACTCCACTGCCCACAGAGGCCGTCACCCCCAGCCGGAGCAGCCTGGGCAACCCCAGCCAGAGCCAGCCTCCAGGGTAAGATGCCCCAGTCCCCGTGACCTGGAAGTAGGCCTTCTGGGCCTGGGCCTTCTCCATGGCCAGTGGTCCAGACAAGGGCGGGACCCACACACTGGTGGCTGGGACTCTGGGCTCCCTCAGCCCCAGCCCAGGTTGGAGGCCCCAGTGTGGGCATCCCAGGTCGGGAGGCTGTGTGTCCCTGGGCTTGGAGAAGGTGGAGCGGGTGGAAGGAGGTGGCCTGAGGGAGAGCTGGTGGGGCCCCACAGGCCCTGATGGGGTTTCACAGGCGTGTTCTCCTGTGCTCCTCACGGCCACCTGCCCCGTGACTGTCCTCTCTCGACAGACGGGTAAACCGAGGCTAGGTGATGGTGCACAGTTACAGGAGGGCGGCTTGGGGCTTCCACGCCCCCGAGGTGTAACAAACCAAACAGGAAGAACATGCTCAGCGTGTCTTAAGGGGAAAGAACTCAAGAAAATGTCAAACCACAGGTCATAATATCAAAAGGTTCTATAGGCAACGCATCGAAGGATGCAGGGCACATCCAAAGAGCATGGAAAGAATACGCAGAGTCACCGCAGCCAGAAGAACTAGTCGGCACTGAACCACTTCAAGGGGTCGCCTAGGAGGTAGACCCAACGGTTCGAAGGAAGAAGCCAAGCTGCACCAAAAGCATTAGCCGAAAACAAGGGACCAGGAATTGATGGAATGCCAATTGAAATGTTTCAACAAACGGATGGGGCACTCACCTGTTAAGGCCAAGGCATTTGGGAGACAGCTCCTTGGCCGCTCCCTCGAAGAGATCCATATGGGTGCCCATGCCAAAGACAGGAGACCCCGCAGAAGTGGGAATTGTAGAACCATGTCACTGATACGGGATGTGCGGACACCTGCAAGGATGGTGGGTACAGGACTGGGCGGTGCTTCCTGCTGTGGGGCTGCGGTTGCTAGGGGTGGGAGCAGATTCCATGCCCCTAGCAACAGCACCACTGCTATCCCCCACTCAAGTCCACGTTGCTGATAATCATCCAGAACGGTTGCAGCTGTCCATGGACCAGGAGCTGCCAGAGGTTCAGGCCGGATTCAGAAGAGGACGTGGAACAAGGGGTGTCATTGAGGACATCAGGCAGACCTTGGCGGATGGCTGCGACTACCAGGAAGATGTTGACTTGTGTTTTATTGACGAGGAGGCCCAGGCATTTGACTGAGTGGGTCATGGCAAGCGTGGCTAGCCTTGCAAAGAATGGGAATTCTGGAACAGGCCCCTTTGCTCATGCGGAACCCGTACGTGGCTCAAGAGACAGCTGGGCAAACAGAACTGCTCAAAGGTCTCATAATTATAACTTCTCATAATTCAACTAGGTCATGGGTTGGGGACTCCCTGGAGGATGTGCCCTGTACTTAGTTTCGTGTGGCAGGAGTGTCAATACGGTACACCCACGTGCGCTTGTCATCAGAAAGTCCCCTGACGGTGAAAAGGTGAATGCTCCTGGTTTGCTCTTAGAAACGTGTATCAGTGTATCATTCCAGCCCACCCAGGGGTGCTTCGGAATAAAGAGCAGGCAAGTTGCTCCCCCAAACGTAGCCCTGGTAAATGCTCTGCAGTACAGTGAATCTGAATCTATTTGGCATCCGTGTGTGTGTGTGTGTGTGTGTGTGTGTGTGTGTGTGTGTGTGTGTGTGCTTTGCTTTGGCGGGTGATTCGGCGTCTCTGGAAGGTTCAAGTGCAGTGTGTGAGTGGGTGGGTGTGACCTGGGCAGACGGGGACGTGCGCAGGGAGACGTGACGTGTCTACTTGATTTGGGCCTCTGCTTTGTTTCATCCGACCGTATCTATCCACTCACGTGGGCTCTGGTGATACAGCGGGTTCAGCCCTGGGCTGCTAACCAGAAGGCTGACGGTTTGAACCCACCAGCCACTCCAAGGGGGGCAAAGGGGGCAGTCTGCTTCCGTAAGGACTGACCACCTTGCTGGCCCTACAGGGTGGCTAGGCGTCAGAAGGGAGCCAATGGCGCTGCTTCATTTTAATCTGCTCACAAGTTTTGGGAGGAAGATGCGGCCCCCACACCACCCTGTGTCCTCCCTCCAGGCTGTGGGTGCTGCTCGCCCTGGTGGGTCTCCTGCTGCTTCTGTTGGTGGGGGCCTGCCCAGTGGCCTGGAGAATGAGGGCCAGACGCAGAAAAGGTGAGTGATGCCCCCACCTCTAGCCCTGCCAATCCTGCCCAGTTCCCAGTCCTCTGGACTCTGTGTCCCCGTTCCCCACAGTGGGAATCAAACATGCCCACCTTGCACCACGTGTCCAGGTGCGTCCAGATGACACGCCCCAAGGAGGCATCCCTGGGGGTATGGAGGGAGCACAGCAGGATGGGTGCCCCTCTTCCTGCTGGCTCCTCATACCCTCAAGGATGGAGTCCAGCCCCCTGCAGGACAGGCAGCCCCCACACTCTGCCTCTCCCGCCCCTTTCTACCACTCTGTCCATCCATTAGGAACGAGTATCCCCTGCCCGCCTTCCCCTAGCTCCTTCCTGGCTGCCTTGCCCCAAAGAGGAGGTCCGGGCCTCTCTGGATAAGCCTCTGTGCTTGCCCCCCTCCATCCCTGCACCCCCCCCCACCCCCAGCCCTTTCCACCTGGATCGCCTGCCTTTCCCACCAGCCCGTGTGCCCCTTAAGGTCGGGGACTGAGGCTGCAGAAGGGGCTTCCCATGTATTGGTTGGATTCCTGGATGCTTTAACATCTTGGGGCCCTCGGACCCAGCACACATCTCCGACCTCAGGTTGAGAGAGTCTGACTCAGGCGACAGGTACCTGCTTAGCAGGCTGCTGGTCCCAGTAAGTGCGCGCTCCATAAATATTTGACAAAGCGCACAGACTCAACGGAAGCCCAGGGGAACCAAGGAAGTGATGGCCTCTTGTGAGGGGTCAGGGCCCCCAGTCACGGCTCGTTCAGCAAGTGCGGGCTTGTGCTGGGAGTGTGACCTGCGGTCTCCTTCCTGTTTTCAGCGCTGGCGGCTGCCCAAGCGGTGGACTTGCGGGGCAGTGTGCCCTGCAACTTCTAAAGGCTGCAGTGAGCTTGGTGGGAGTTGGGGGGGCTGCTCTGTTGACTGGGATGTGGCCGGTCCCCCATTCTCGCCCCCACCCACCCCCGGCCCCTCCCGTGGGCTCCAGCCTCCCTCACACGGGGCTCAGGCCTTTGGGGAATGTCTGGTCACAGTAGATATCTGCAGGGAGTGTAGACAGAAACCACTTCCTCTCCCCACCAGCTGCCCTGCCCCTAACCTGCCGCCCATGTGGAGATCGCCCACTCCGGGGTTTTCCTAGCTGGCCTCAGCTCCTGCCCTTTCACCCAGAAAGCCTCCCACTCACCCAACAGCCTCGTCTCTGGTAACACGCTTCACCCACGGCCGCCAGAAAAACAGGAGAGAAGGATCAAGAAGGGACGAAGTCACACGTTCACCCACTGCTGTCACGTCCGTGCTGGCCACCGCGACCCCGCGGCACACGGGAGACGTCCCGTTGGGGTTTCCAAGGCTGTTCGTTTTTGTCAGGGCTGACTGCCTCGTTGTTCTCCTGCTGGGCAGCGGGTGGGCTCGAACAGCTAGTAGCCAAGCCCTTCACCACCACGGTGCCTTGAGGGCCTCTTAAATGACAGAGTAAAGGACCGGAATCTCGCAGAAAAAATCTGCCTCCGGCATTTGAGGTACATCTTCCCAGTAATGTTTCTGTGCCCATCTATGCACGAGAGACCGTCCCAAGAACAGCGCTGTAACTGAGCACGAATGGTCGCAGCCCTGAGGAGTTAGGACCCGTCATCAAAAACATCACACGTGAAGAAACAGACGAGAGAAAGGAAAGATCGAAGTGGATATCAGGCACATGTTCTGTTTTTAATTAAAAAAAAAAGTTTAAATCATTTATTGGGGGCTCATACAGCTCTTATCAGAATCCATCCATCCATCCATCCATTGTGTCAAGCACATTTGTACATTTGTTGCCCTCATCATTTTCAAAACATTTTCTTTCTACTTGAGCCCTTAGTATAAGCTCCTCATTTCCCCCCTCCTTCGTTGCCTCTCTCCCTCACAAACCCTTGATCATTTATAAATTATTATTATTTATAATAATATAAGTCAGACTGACTGATGTCTCCCTTCACCCACTTTTCTGTTCTCTGTCCCCCAAGGAAGGGGTTATATGTAGATCAGTGTGATCGCTTCCACCTTTCTCCCCCCACCTTTCCCTTACCCTCCTGGTATCGCTACTCTCATTATTGGTCCTGAGGGGGTTATCTGTCCTGGATTCCCCGTGTTTCTAGCTCTGATCTGTACCCATGTACATGCTCTGGTCTAGCGGGATTTGTAAGGTACGATTGGAACCATGATGGCGGTGGTGGTGGGAGAGCAGACACGTGTTCTTGAACACAGAGTGGCTAAACTATGTTGAAGAAATGAGGCTGTAGAAAAGCTGAATAGACCATTTCAAAAGGCAGCTCAGAATTCAAGCTGGATTCGAAAGGGGATGTGGAACAAGGGCTATCCTTGCTGAAGACAGAGGGATCTCGGCGGAAAGCAGAGCATACCAGAAAGATGCTTCCTTGAGTTTCACTGACTCTGCAAAGGCCTTCGATCGCGTGGGTCAGAACAAACCCCGGGTCACGTGTGGAGAACGGGACTTCCAGAGCACGCAGTGTGCTCGTGTGGGACATGCACGTGGACTAAGCAGGGGAAGCACAGGCAGAAGAGGGCTTAACATCAGGAGAAGCTGGTGTCGGGGCTGTGTCTTTTCACCAGACTGTTCCATCTGTCTGCTGAGCAGAGACTCAGAAGCTGGATGATCGCAGGAAGAAGGTAGGGTCAGCCCTGGGGGAGGACGCACTGACCGCCTGTGGGGACCAGCAAGGAGCACCTGGAGCACTCACGGGGGACGAGCAAAGACCACAGCTTCCAGTGTGGACCCACACCCAACGTACAGGAAACTGACGTCCTCCCAACCGGATGGAGACACCACGGAACGATACACGGAGAAGACAGGGAGGTCGTCGGAGATCGCATGCTACGGGGTCGAGAAACCAATCGACCGATCTGTGGACTGCACAGGCAAATCTGCTCCACGAGCCCTCCTGAGATTATTGGACAGCAAAGAAGTCACGTTGTGGTGCCTGACCCAAACGGTGGCCTTTTCGGTCAGAAAACCTCGGAAGAAGTGGCGCCGTGGACTGTGCTGTCGGGAGGACCATGGTCTGCCGGGAGGACAAAGTGAAAGGAGAGTGTCTGGGGCAGGGAGCGCCAGACTGCACAGGGATGGCGCACCTTGTCTCCTAGACTGTGGGTGTGTTGTCAGGAGCGACCTGTCCCTGGAAAAAAGGACATCATGGTTGGTCAAGTGGCTGCAACAATGGGCTCCACTGTAACAACCTTTGAGAGGGTGGGGCAGTGTTGCCCTTTGCTGCACATGGGGTGGTTATGAGCGGGGACAGACTGGACAGCACACAACATCAACAACACCAACAACATTAACAACAACAACAACATCAACACCAACCACAACATATATGCCTGAATGGTTTCTGTCAGAAACTGGGTCGCACTATCAATCAGGTATTAGACATAGATATGAATATAGTTTTATGTATTTTGCACACACCCTCTCGTATCATTTTACCTGCCATTCTTGGGTGTTATTTTCTGAACAGCCTTGGCAGCAGAGGGTACGGGTACGTGGAAGCATCACGTCCTGGTTAACCAGCCTCTGGGGGTGGAGAAAGGCTTACTCTTCGGCATCGGGCTTTTTAGAAGATGATTCATTGGGATTGATGGACAGTTCAGATCATTCCATAGTTCAATCACGGGCGGCAGAACGGTGCGTCTGCTGCACAGTCAGTTTCCAAGCATTCGTTTTCTATATGGACCCCTTGGCATCACCAACCCGCCACCACCTCCGTGTCCCCCTCGCCCCCAAACCATTTTAGTCCCTTGTCGACTCTATTGGTTCATCAGTCCTGGTTTTCAGACCCCCTCAAACGAAACAAAACAAAGACATATACCACAACTTCAAAACATAACACTACCGCGACACCCCCTAATATGTACAATCAAAACCAGGCCAAAGGGTACAACCCCCAAATACAGAAGATTTGGGTCAGCAGATCAGGTCCAGCACGCGTCCTAGAGGAATCCGCTGACAAGGTTCACTGTTCAAGTCAGGCTTACACGTCAATGACCTTCTGCACTCAGCTTAAGCATCAGACTTTTGACGCCCGTTTCTGCTTCCGGTCCTGCCTGTCCTTGCCCTGTTCCTCTCCCTGAGCCTCGGACCAGCCCCTGGAAGAAGTAGTGCTTGCAGAACGGGCTGTATCTGATCTCTCATGGGTACCTAGAGCCTGCCTACTCATTCATGTCTTCACTTCATCACTCACTCACTCACTCATTCAACTCACTCAACCAACTCCTGGGGTCCTCCATGGTCAGACCTGAGCCTATCGCCCCCAGGACTGGAGCCGGTGGGGAGAGGTCTGTTTCTGGGGGAGCGTTGGGAATCCAGCGTTGGGAGTGCTGGGCCTTCACCCTTCTCCTCTCCTGTCCCCTTAGCTGCCCAGAGAGCACAGCTGTCCCGGAACCACAGTCTGGTGAGCAAGGGCTGCAGCTGGGGGCCAAACGCAGCAGGATGGACAGTGGCATCGGGCAGTGGAGGCCCAGGAGGACAGTGGGGGACGGAGGGTGGGGCTTGGCCAGAGTCAGAGAAGGTGGTGATTGGGTCCAGGGGACATGGAAGGAGGAGGGTCCTCGCAGCCTCAGCAGTGCTCAGACAAGGCCCAGAGTGACCCAGAGTGGGCGGGTAGGGGTGGAGGAGGGTGGAAAGACTGGGGCAGGCGCACCCGGACATGAAGGGGAGGGGGAAGGTGGGTGCAGAGAGGCTGGGGCAGAGGGTCCTCTGGACGGACCCAGGCAGGGGCTCAGAGAACTCCCAGCACACCCCGCTCCTCACTGCCTGCCCAGCCCCAGCTCGACGAGCCCGGGGAGCCCTGCTATGCGAACCTGGAGCTGCAGACGTGGCCTTCGGGGACAGCGCCCGAGCAGCAGAGGGACGTGGAGGTGGAGTACAGCACCGTGGTAGGTGTGGGTGGCACGTGGCTCCTGGGGACTGGGACCTGGGCAGAGCGGCAGGGCTGGGGAGCTGGCTCACTGTTCTCACGGTGCAGGCAGAGTCAGGGAACTCCTGGCCCTGGTGGCTCAGGAGCGTTGGCCGGAGCAGGTGGGCACACTGGATGGAAAGTCAGTTGTGATGGGAGCAGGCTTGGGACAGAAAGAGGCCCCGACAGTGGGCAGAAGGCTGGATCCGCATGACTGGGTCTCTCTCAGGTTGGGTGTCCCCCAGCCCATCCTCCGCACCTCTTCTCGAGCCTTTGTCTCCCTCCACAGGCAGCGCCCATGGACGAGGTGGACTACACCTCGGTGACGTTTGCGCTCCCGAGTCAGGGTCCTGAGGCCCCCAGTACTGCCCTCGAGAGGCCCCGAGAGGAACCAGAGTACAGCGTGGTGAAGAAGCCATCGCCCCCGTCTCAGGCCTGCCCATCTGAGGGGCCCCTGGGGTCATGAGAAGCCCAGGGGTGGCCCTCCGCCTGCTCGCCCGATGGTCACTAAGGCAGCTGGGCTCCGTGGACTGTCTCTCATGCCATCTGCCTGGCTGACTTCTCAGGGGAGACCAACGGGACTGAGGGTCCTGGTTTCTAATCTTCCTGCTTTCCCTGTGGAGCATGTCAGCTGTGTGCACGGAGCACAGGAGTCCCGTCGTCCTGGGCGACGCACACAAGTCGGCACCTGCACCTCCCTTGGCATCATCACCAGCTGAGCCTGGGAGTCAGCGCTGACGCGTGGCGCCCCCGTGCGTGTCAGACAAGAACTGTGCCCCCCAGGGTTTTTCAGTCGCTGACTTTGTCAGCAGTAGATCACCACGCCTCTCTTCCAAGGCACCCTGGGTGGAGTCGAACCACCAACCTTTCAATTGGCAGGGAGCTCTTCACCTGTTCTTACCACCCAGGGCTCCTCTCTAACTCACAGCCTCGTAGCCACGCCCGAGACTGCCCAGGGGAGAGGAGACCTAGATGGGGAGTCAAGGGAATGCAGGAGAGGGGATTCCTTCACCCACACACGGAGGGGAGGGCCTGGGGCCACCCAGATGATCCTCTGCAGACGGGGAACCCCAGGCCCAGGGAGCAGGGGGCCCGGCACAGGGCCCCAGAGTCAGTTCCTCTGGACCCGTCAATGAGTTTGCTTTTAACAGAAGAGGGAGGATAAATTGGAAATCTCTTGTATGGAGAGACCAGGAGAGGCTATTTAAATAAAGCCGTCCGCGTTGCCTATGGAAGCACAGGCACACCTTGTTGCCTGTTGCTCTGCCCGCTTCTTCGACGAGCCTTGGGTGTTGCGTTTCTCACAGACGCAGGCTTCTGGCCACCGTTGCTCCACAGGCATTGAGCAAGCCTATCGGCTCCGCTTCCCCAACCGCCTGGGCTCGCTTTGGGGCTCTGTGTCACGTTTCGGCGATTCCAGCCACATTTCAAGCATTCACATAAGGGACGACGGGAGGAAGGCTCCACGAGGTGGATTGGCACAGTGGCTCCAAAGATGGGCTCTGACCTAAGGACGATCGTGCAGGTGACGCGGGAGCGGGCGGCGTTGCTGTCTGTTGTCCGTGAGGTCGCTATGAGTCAGGACTGACTGGCCGGCGCCTGACAACCACAACCTGACGCAGCCAGACACGTGGGCGATGCTGAGTGTCCCTAAAACTTCTCATGTGCTGGGAAACCCAGCCACGTGTGTGACTCGCTTTATCGCAGGCTCTGGAGTGAACCCACAATGTCTCTACGGTCTACCTGCCAACGCCTGGCTTTGCTGTCAAATGGGCACAGGGAAGCCCCAAGGAGCCTTTGAGGAGGGACGTCCTGAAAGACGAGGTGGGAGGGTGGGAGGAGGGACGGCTCCGCCTGTTCTCTTCCCAGGAGCAAAGATTTTCCCCGTGGTGGGAAGAGCTCCCTGTGTTCCTGGCTCCTACTGACCTATCCGCGGCTCCACTGAGAGCCAGGTTTACCACCTTCTCACCTGTGACACCGCGATTCTCTTTCACCTGGCAGCCACACGTCAACCTTCTGTTTGAATACATAGCAGAGAAGAACAAGAACAGACAGTATTCCACGTAGGTCAAAGGTGTTGACACCAGTGTTATCACTAAATGGCGATCTTGAGCCGTTTTCTCTGATGGGGGCTGTCGCTTGCGAAGGATTCTTCCAGAGGCAGGTGGCCCACCTCCGAAGGCAGAGGGCCTGTGAGGGTCTTCAGATTTTCCGTGTGTACCTCGGTGCCATCCATTCCAGCAACTTTCTCCCTCTTTCTATACATGTTCTGAAATGAAAAAGGGGAAACACACACACACACACACACACACACACACAGTGACCCAGGGTGGGCCAACCCTTGGGCACAGCCACATCCACTGGACTAGTGAAATGGGCTGTCCCACAAAATAATGGCCCCGCCATGCCTGGTGGAAGTCAAGCCGAGGCCAGCTGTTCCCTTGGGGGAGATGATAGGGACGAGATCACTGCATACAACACACACACCACGTAACACACACATATCGCTCATATACCATGCCCTGCAATATGCAACACATGGGCACAGGTCCAGGTCCCGCTGAGGGAAGGAGCCAGGAGGGGCTAGGGGTCATGGGAAGTCAGGGGGTAAAACTCCACAGGCCCCAGGTGGCTCTCTGCTCTGGCCTGAGACTGGCGAGCCCAGCTAAGGGGCCCTTCCTCCTGCCAGGAGGAGAGCCGTGGGCGGCCCAGCTCCTGGCCCACAGGGCTGATGGGACTGCTCCCCACAGGAGGACATCTGACCCCAAGTGACAGAGGGGTTGGCCGGAAGCCGCAGCACCGATTCTATGCAGTCAGAGGGATGCAGAACAAAGGAAAGTGAGGGGGAGGTGACACGTGGGGAAGACCTACTACCTCCTGACTCATTTCTGACTCATCCTTGGGAAAGCCCGGCCCAAACGCCATCAAGTAGTGTTTCCTCTGCTGAGGCAGCAGGCCCATTTTTGCCTTCCCCGGGAGCAGAGAGATCCGTGGAAGCCCGCTATCACTTGGGGAGTCGTGGGTTGTTCCTTGATCGATGCAGAAAACGTAGGAATAAAGTCTTGGCATTTCCTGATAGAATTACGGGTTTGTCCCAGGAACCTAGGGAGGTATGATGCCTTACGTAAAACTTGACCTGTGATGAGCTTGTGCTTCAAGGAGCCTCGGGACCACCCC